TCTCTCTCTCTCTCTCTCTCTCTCTCTCTCTCTCTTTCTCTGCAATCCATCTCTTCTCACCACCTTCTACCCCACCCCCACCCATAGGTGTTGAACCAGAACCCTTTGAGCAGGGTGAGCACCTGGTGGAGAGTTCCCACAAGCTAGTCCTCATTGACCGTCTCTTGAGCTCCCTGCACCAGGAAGGACATAAGGTCCTGCTCTTCTCTCAGATGGCTCGCATGCTGGACGTCCTGCAGGACTATTTGACCTTTCGAGGTGAGATGTTTGCTCGAGATTGTGTACTTGTGTGTGTGTTTGTGTGTGTGTGTGGGTGTGTGTGTGTGTGTGTCCAGTGGAGAGAGAGGGAGGGAGAGTGGATGGGGGAGAGAGAGAGAGAGGCAAAAGGATGGAGAGAGAGACTGACAGACAGACAGACAGACAGAGAGAGAGAGAGAGGAAGGAGAAGGAACTATAAAAGAGGGAGGAATTGACTTTAGGGGTATGTGTATTTCTATTTTTAATGATATGTATCTCTATCTATATTGATACCTGCTACATTCTCTGCTTTTTGTTCACTTTTTCTGCAGGATACACATATGAGCGTCTAGACGGCTCAGTGCGTGGGGAGGAAAGATTTATGGCAGTACAGAACTTCAACGAGAAAGATGATACTTTTGTTTTCTTGCTGAGCACAAGAGCAGGTAGGTGCAGCAGTCTTTATGAGTGGCTTGGTGACAGTGGGTGGTTGGCGGGTACTCTGGTGTGGTTCATGCCTTCTTTCCTATCGAATATCTATCATCCTTATCTCTTTATCCTTTATTTGTATGTTATTATCTTGTAACACTTCTATTCCTTGGCACTTGTATATGACCTATTTGTGTTGCAAGTGCTGTAAAACTATTACAAATACTGAAACTAAAACTTGATGTCATTGTGAGTCTTGATTATGCGTATGTATACACACATACAATTTTTGTGACAGCCGTATCTTAACGGACATGTTCACACCGACAGACAGACAGACAGACAGACAGACAGACAGACAGACAGACAGACAGACAGACAGAAAAACAGACAGGGAGAGAGAGAGAGAGAGAGAGAGCGAGAGAGAGAGAGCGAGAGAGAGAGAAAGGAAGGAGAAGGAACTAAAAAAGTAGTTGTTAGGCTCTTTGCCTTTGCACACATAAGATGTGAATTCAATTCCGTGGGTGGTTGGTGGGTGCTCTGGTGTGGTCTGCTCCTTCTTTCCTATCAAACATCTATCGTCCTCATCACTCCTCCTTCTTTTTTGTGTTTGTTACTCTCTTGTGACACCTCTAACTTCGGCACTTCTATGACATTATTGTGTTGCAAGTGCCGTAAAACACTTACTAAAACAAACATGAAACAAATTCAATTCCTGTGTGTGGAGATTTTTTTGTAGCATCTATCTCCATCTGTATGCTTAGATGTTGTGTCCCTCTCAGCCCAGGCTGTCCCTGACTGTTGGGTTGAAGAAGCAGTAGGTGCCCTAATAATCTAGATCGCTTGTATTTTGGTGGGTGTGTTTCTTCTTGTGTTTTAGTTGTTTTGTGAAGTTGTGTATATATGTGTGTGTTTGCCAGTGTGTGTGTGTGTGCGTGTGTGTGTTTTTGTATGTTTGTACTTGTATGGAGTATGTCTTTGTATTTGTTTTGAAGAAAGTTTTCTTTGGATTCATCTCTAATTTCATGTCAGTTCTGTTGCTGTTTCCATGCAGTTGTTGTTGTTTCTGTTGTTGTTGTTGTTGCTGCTGCTGTTACTGTTGTTGTTATTGTTGTTGTTGTTAATCCCAGAGCCTTTAAGGGTAAGCCCTTTTGTCCAATGCCATGTTGAAAGGTGGTCTTCAAAAGTTGTTCTTTACTGCAGCATGGGGCATGTTTTCAAGCCGTAAGATGATCATCTTTACTTTGATACTTGTACTTCGTAACTAGATAAGGCATTACAGTGTGAACTCTGACACAAATGAATTGTGGTGCTTTTGGTTTAAGATTTGAATCCTTCTACCTTCGTAATCAATGCTTCTCTGTTGCAGACCAAAGCATTGTCAGAAAGGATGCAAATGTGTGGTTAAGGACTGTATGTGTGTATAAATATCTATTATCTATTTGTGGTGGCCGAATTTTGCTATTCAAAAGGCTTTTTAATGGCTGCATCGATCGACTCGCGGTTTTCGCCGAAAGATTCTTTAAAATATTTTCCGAACACCTTTGGTTTTTTCAGTTTTGAGACAGTTTTGCTGCAAAAAGCTACATTTCTGGTTTTTGCCAATCTCTTAAGTAGGCCGACGCTTCTGTCTCTGTAATTTTAGAAAACCCGGAAGTGATATTTCGTGAGGCGTCTTTTGTTTTGAGAGTATAGATCTAGACCTTCTAATTTTTTGCATTCTCAAGATTTATTGCCCCATTTCAGTAGAGTGTAAATATACATGTAGTAGGCCAATTACTTTTCGTTGATATTAAAGCACCGATCATTCCTTTCATCGAAAGGGGGCCCAGCTAGTGTGTATATATATATATATATATATATATATATATATATATATATATATATATATATATATATATGCTATTCTTAAACCGATAAGTTTATACAAGAATAGTCTAACACAATCACACAGTGATGACTCTGGAAAACTAAAACATTTTGGTGTAGTTGCTTTTATTCTTTTTTTTTCTTTTTTTTAAAAGAAGTCTTAAGCTCAGGAGCTGTTGGATAGAGAATAAAAAACAGTAATAACAACACTGCAACGACGTCAAATTTTATGAAGAAAAGAAAGTTAAATTAGTCCTTCAGAAGAGAGGGATGATCAGTTATGTTCTTAGTACAAAAGTACAGAATCAGTGTTAACTTATTAAAAAGTATACAAATATTGACTTAAAATTTTTCTTCTTCTTCTCCAAGTGCCATGCCTGAGACTGGCATTGATGGTCATGGTTTGCAGCTCATTTTTCTGTTTAAATGCTCTCAAAAAAACCTTTATTGTCTTGGTCTATTCCTTTCATCCATCTGTACAAAGAAAAGTAATGCCCCGATAAAAATATAGCAACTATTAGTATACTGTACACTGTTTTTTTTGCGATTTGTCCATTTATTTTCCGTGAACGTTCTGAGTTGCACTGTATCATGTGTTCCAATGCAGTAACACCTCTTTTAGCACTTTTTGAAGGACTTGAATTCACATATTTCTTTAAAAATTGCGAATTTACTTCGCTCACACTCACACTTAAAGAACCCTGTACGTCATGCACACAGTAGACACATTGCAACAGATGCCGCTGCATCCATCTTTTTCATGTCTTGGTACCTCTTCTTTTGTGTGGTTTGTCCTTTCTGGTTGCAATGGTAGTCCACTTAAACAAAGGCTTTGCGAGGGACCATTGAGTTGAGTGAAATTCACCGTCTGTTGTGAGCCAGATCTGCATGGTCTCCCGCCTTTAAATAGGGCAGCTCCCACTAAAATAAAGGTACTATGTGCTCTGAGTGGGTGATTGTCCCTCATTGTCTCCGTGATCTCTACTGACTAGACATGCTGATTCCCTTCACTTTGCTCCTCTTCCTTTTCTTGACATCTACTGAGTAGGTTGGTTGGCATGGCATCCTGCACCTTTTCTCTGTGGGTGGTTGGTGGTTAGTCTGGTGTGGTCTGCTCCTTCTTCCCTTTCAAACCTCTGTCATCCTTATTCCTCCTCTTTTTTTTACTGTGATTGTTACTCTGTAGTAACACATCTAAACAATGACACCGATATAACATATTTGTGTTACAAGTACTTTAAAACTCTAACTAAAACTAAAAAACTAACACGCAAAAAATTACTGGCTGGACTGGCTGGTGTCTTTGACCTTGTTCTGGCTGGTGTCCTTGCTTTTGCTGCCCCTGGAGCCCCGAAACTCCCGACACTTCTGCAGCACGGTGGGCACAGTGTAGATGACCGGGTTGATGGCCGAGTTGATGGGCAGCAGCATCACTGCTGACCATGCGTATGCTGCCTTCCCCATGACGTAACCAGCCAGAGAAAAGGCTCCCATGATGCCGATGGGGAACCAACAGAGAAAGTCGGTAGCGGCGATGACCGACAGGTGGCGGGCCACGGCCAGGTCTTGTGCTCTTCGAGCTCGGATCATGCTCTCAGACATGGCGGAGTCGGCAGAGGTTTTGGGCATTCGACCGTTGGACATGGCTCTGTAGATGACCATCTGCCCCATGGCGACGAGGATAAAGAGGGCGAGGTTCACGAAGATGAAGATGGCAGAGGAGAACTGCCAGCCGGCGAGACGTCGGTTGGTGAGCGGTAGGCCGAGGCACATACCGTTAGAGTTGTACGTCTCCCAGTGCGTGAAAGGTGGGAGGAAGGGCATCACTGCAACGGTTAGGCCGAAGGTCCAGGCGAGGGAACAGCAGAGAACAGTGGATTTCCCGCCCATTCGGACTTGCCCGAAAGGGAATCGAATGACGAGGAAGCGGTCGAGGGTAATCAGGACGATGAACACGGTGGAGGTTTCTGAAGACAGAGTGGAGAGGAAGCCCGCTATTTTGCAGCCGACGCTGTGTCGCCATGTTGCCTCCTCCCACAAGTACGAGCCTTGGTAATTGTAGTCCGCCATTGCTATGATCAGAAGATAGACACCCATAAAAAAATCGGATATACCCAAGTGTGTGACGAAGTTTCCGTATGCGACCTTGATTGCGTCCCTGTCGAAGCAGATGCGATAGATAATGACCATGGCGTTCCCGCAGATGGCCAGGAATCCGTTGACCCACAGGAAGATTCTGAGGAACGTGTTACTCATCAGGTCGTCGCAGGAAGAGAAGGGGTCGTCGGGTGCGATACAGACCCCCTCTTTTATACGATGGCGGTGTAGGCGCGGACAGCAGAGCTTGAACGAGCTTGTGTAGAGAGTGCCCATGACCTCCACGTTTTTGAATGATCTTTCGTCGTAGAATGTGATTGGGGCGAGGCGGATGTCCAAAACTTGCAGCTTCAATCCTGGGGGGAAAAGGTCTTGGCGGAGTTCGGCCAAGTGTGTGCCTTGGAGGTTCAGGTGTGTTAGGGTTGGGATTAGGGGTTCCAGAGTGGACGCGGAGAGAGTGGAGATGGCTGTGTAGGAAAGGTCTAGATCGACTATTGGTGGCTTAAGCCAGAAGGCATTTTCATGAAGGCTTGATAAATGTAGGTTGTACGACAGATTTAGGTACCGCAAGGCGTGCATGGAGCTGAAGATGTTGAGTCGCGGAATGTGTCGGATCAGGTTGTGGCTGAGGTCCAGCCAGATGACGGCGGCGAAGTTGAGAGTGGACACAGACGCTTCGGTCACATGGATGTTGAGGATGTTGCACCTGGAGAAGTTTGCGAGGACGATTTGGCTGAAGTCACCGACTCTGGTAATGTTTGGGAAGACTCGAAGAAGGTCTACCCCGGACGCGTTGATGTATCGCGTGCTGTCTGTGACGAACCGGAAACTCCTTAGGAAGGGAACAGTTTTGTTCCTGGAGTTGTTCGATGCAGTTACCGCCCCTGCGAGACACCGGAAGCCTTGATCGCAGGTCACGTGACATCCCAGCTCATCATCTCCCTGCGGGCAGTCGGAACTTCCGTCACAGACGCGGTCTGGGTGGAGGCATATATTGCTCTTGCTGCACTGGAAGTAATCCGGGCATTCTGGGGGCGTCGCTACCAGTGTT